GGGAAAGGTGAGGGAATATGGGTGAGGCTTCAGACAGCACAGCTAAGTGTGGTATATATTGCCTTCAAAATGAAAACAGACCCACTAAATTCAGTGTCTCTTTCCTAATGATAAAGGATTCAAACTTCAGCAGATATACTGAAATTTTCCAAACCACTGGAATCTCCATACACTTCACTGAGCAACTAAGGCCTAGTATTTTCAAAGACATCATGCCCCTTTTGGGGTATGTATCTAGAGCAGCCATGGGCAAACTACGGCCCGCGGGCTGGATCCGGCCCGTTTGAAATGAATAAAACTATTGAAAAAAAAAGACCATACCCTTTTATGTAATGATGTTTACTTTGAATTTATATAAGTTCACACAAAGACTCCATCCATGCTTTTGTTCCGGCCCTTCGGTCCAGTTTAAGAACCCATTGTGGCCCTCGAATCAAAAAGTTTGCCCACCCCTGGTTTAGAGGCATTAAATAGGTATCAGTAACATCCGAGAACAAAGTCCTCTCTAACTTTAATCTAGGGTCCCTCTGTCCAGGCTTCCAGAACTGTTTGTGTATCTCTGTTTCTGATTTCTGAACATCTACTGGAAAATAAATTCCTTAAGAGTATGGGATTCTGTCAGTCTTGCTCACCACCATATACAACTACCATGGGTTGCCTGATGCTATGACTATCTGAGATCTCTCTCATAGGCATCCAGCCAGCCAGCATCTTCTGAAGGAAACATGCCCTTCCTTTCTGTAACCTGCTTTGTTTCTCAGCTGGGGTCCTAGGCCAGGGGTTGCAACCCCTGGCACGCGTGCCAAACATGGCACGCCAGTAACTTTTGCTGGCACGCGAAACCCTCTCTTATAATCTTCCATTTACAATTTTTTTCTTAATATCAACTTTTTTATTTTTCAGATAAATTCAGTGTAGGTGCATCTTAGATAAATAAATAATTTTACATAACAAGTTATCTTAAAGACCATAGACATGGATTGACGAGAGAGGGGAAGAGTAATTTCTATGTCTCTGCCTTCCTATATCCGACCAGTGTTTTGGTTTCATCCACATACTTGTGAATCTTTGTTCTCAGTGATGAATTTTGTTAAGTCTCATAATAGGAGTAGCCTGATGGATGAAAGTAGTAGCTCGTGCATATCTCTGAAGGTCACGAAATATAAACCTGATGTAAAATCTCTGTCATCAGTGATGCAGCAGCAAAAGTCTTACTGATAATATCAAATGGAGTCATAAAGTTTTCTGTCAGACTATCAGTGTACATTAAAAAATAAATGTATTTTTCATCATCATATACTGTGTTTTTGTTGCTCGAATGAATTTTATTACTTCTTCAAGGTTCTTCACATATGTACACCTTAAGAGATATCAAGTAGGCATAATATGTTCTCAAAAAATTAGGGTTGGCACGCAGAAGAATTTTGAGTCAGAGATTTTGCTGGTTTTGGCACGCACTCACAAAAAGGTTGCCCACCCCTGTCCTAGGCTCTTCCCTTTCCTCAGTTTCCTTGACCAGGCAACATTCCTTCTTTCTTCAAGGAAACAAAAAGGTATGGCTGGCTAGCCAAAGAGAAATTATACATTTAAATTAAAATACATAGCTCTGAATAAAATTACACACCAATGTAAATCTACATGCATCCATACATAAGAATGTACTAGTATATAAGCTTACTAGAGGCCTGGTGCATGAAATTTGTGCACTGGGGGCAGGGATGTCCCTCAGACTACCCTGCACCCACTCCAATCTGGGACCCCTTGGGCGATGTCCCACTGCCAGTTTAAACCAGCAGTGGGACATCTCTCTCATAATCAGGGACTGCTGGCTCCCAACCGCTCGCCAACCTGCCTGCCTGATTGCCCTTAACTGCTTCTGCCTGTCAGCCTGATCATCCCCTAACCACTCCCCTGCCATCCTGATCGATGCCTAACTGCTTCCCTGCCAGCCTGGTCACCCCTAACTGCCCTCCCCGGCCAGACTGGTCACACCTAACTGCCCTGCCCTGCCGGCCTGGTCTCCCCCAACTGCCCTCCCTTGCTGGCCTGATTTCCCACAACTGCCCTCCCCTGCTGGCCATCTTGAGGCTGTGGGCGCTGCCATCTTTGAAGGTGGGGCAGTCAATTAGCATATTCCCTCCTTATTGGCTGTGGGTGCCGCCATCTTTGTGATGGCGTGAGGGTCAATTAGCACATTCCCTCTTTATTAGATAGGATATTTACACATACACACAGAGACCTATATGAAATACACCATAGATACATCATATTTTACCTATTAAATAAGGACTACATGAGTGGGTTTTCTAGACTAGCAGTTTTCAAGAATTTTAGCTTGCATATCTCCTATAACAGTGGTCTGCAAACTGTGGCTTGTGAGCCACATGTGGCTCTTTGGCCCCTTGATTGTGGCCACGAAGTTTCAATTGCACTGTATGTGCGCACCTGCACGTGGTATTTTGTGGAAGAGCCACACTCAAGGGGCTGCAGT